GCGAGGGTCTGTCTTCTGCAACTGCTTCCTGCCGAGTTTGGGTGTTGTCATAACCCCAGGTGGAGGAGCACAACTTCTCCCCTGCTGCCTTGAGATATGTTTGATTGTTGACTGGCCTCAGCCCTGACTTCGTATCCCTGAGCGACCACCATTTGAAGTTTTATAGATTCTAATCTTTTGGAGACAAAGGACGCCAGACAATTTGAACTACATGGCCTAAATATATATCAGCAAGAGGACAATGGTTCTTAAGGGGCCCAGGAAACGTAGAAACCAAGGATGCTGGGGAGGGCTTGTTTTACCCTGTTCCAAAATTTGTTTGGCCAGATTAGGCTGGCTGGCTTCTGTTAACCAAGTTGGTTTTTCTAGTAGCCTGTCTACACTTTCTTTAATCAGGCCACTTACACTGATGTAAAAGCAACATGTTGTATTGACTTGCACAGACCCCCTCCCTTGTCAGCCAACAGATAATCTAGGGCAATCCAGTTATCCTAAAATCCCTATTGCTTGGCATATACAATTACTTATCTTTTGCCTTTTTTTGAAAAAGGAGTTTTAGGTTGGAGAGAGGTTCACAAGAGTAGTGTGGAGCGGGGGGTGGGGGGATGGTGTCTGTTGTCTTGGGTTATTTCTCTGGAGGTTGGGGCTCAGGAGCCCTCTTCATTGGAGTGTGATGTACCCACGGAGTGATCCCCTGCAACTTCAGGGCAGAATGGGTGGTTAGGATCACTAAGTGCTGTCCGTTCCACTTAGGAGTGAGTTGATGTCTTGGGCGGCCTGTTTTCCATGTTTTTAGGTACACCCACTCTCCTGGCTGGAAGGGATGTAGGACCAGGTCAGTGTGTGCAGGCTGCTCGTGGTTACCATATTCTGTGAGAGCTTTCATGGTTTCTCCTACGTGGAGAGCTTGAGTTGTTTCATTCCAAGGGGGTTAAGGTGTCCTTTCTTGGGCTTGGGGAATGGATCTACCATTCATGAGTTCAGGTGCATTTAAGTTTAACTTATCCCCACCGGGGACTAACCACACGTAGAGCAGAGCAGTCAGAAGAATCTTAATCCAGTTTTCTTGACAGGCTGAGTGTAAGGTCCATTTTATGCCCAGGGCACTCACTATCCCCTTCGTCACTTGAGACACAAATGCTGGATCATTATCATTTTGTAGGGATCCTGGGAGCCCAAACCTGGGGATTATTTCTTTTAGTAATGCCTTAGTCACTTCAGCTGCCCTTTCAGTTCTAGTGGGGAATGCTTATATCTGAAATTGTCCGATATTCTCAGTGTGACAGTGAAATCTATCTGCCAGTGTTCTCCAGGGTCTGTCCCTCTGGTTTGAATGGGTCTTATCTGGGGCCCTCTGGGGGCTCTGGTGTTGGGGTTATTTATTGCACCATTGGGGCAGGTCTCAACTACCCAACCGTTTACGTTTTTCGTGCTTGGGGTCACCATGATCTCAACCAGCTAATTATCTAGGACTTCCCGCCCATAGTGAGATCCTTAATGGTCCTCCCTGATGGCTTGGCAAGCTACAGTTTGGGGCATTAACTAGCCACCCATGACTCCCCAAATCCCTATTGAAGCCCCGTTTTGGGGTTTTGTCTAATATTTCTTTTGTGTAGATTGGGGAATAATTGGATGGATCTGACCTTCAAAGTATGAAGGGTAGTTGCCAAGTTACTGGTTCTAGGGCCACCTTTCTGGCAGTTGCATCCACCGTGTCGTTTCCCATTATCCTCTGCATACTCCTTTTGGTGACCCCAGCAATGAATCATTGCCACCTTTTTTTGGAATGTGTACTGCTTCTGAGAGTTTCAATATGCTTAAGCCATGTACCACCTGTTTATTCTCTGCAGTAAGCATAACTCTTTCCCTTCAAATAGCCCTGTGTCTGTGTAGGGTGGCATATGCATACCAGGAATCTGTGTAAATATTTAAGGCCTTCCCTGTCCTGAGCTCTAAGGCTTGGGTGAGGGCCATCAGTTTCACCTTTGGGGCTGAAGTCCCTGGGGGTAGGCCTCTTCATTCTATGACTTGGGTCTGGGAGGTTATTGCATATCCCACCAGGCTTTTTCCCTCCCTCACAAAACTACTCCTCTTCAGCGTTTGGGAGAGGCTTGATTCCTAGATCGGTGTAACTGGGATAAGACTGTGTCTATTGTTTCTATACACTCATGTTCTAAGGGCCCTGTTTCTGTAGGTAGTAAGATGGCAGGATTTAATGTACGACAGGTTTGACAGGTTTTTTGTTTTGTCTTGTCTTGTTTCTTGGCTGCACCGCGCCCCAGTGAAAGTGCGACTCCTAACCACTGGACCACCAGGGAACTCCCACTGTACGACAGGTTTTCATAGTAACCACTAAGGTATCCAAAAGTGTAGCCTGGACTTGAATTGACCTGTTCCCTTAGAGCTTACTAAATGCTTGAAACTGGTGTGGAGTTCATATGGTGATTTGCTGTCTGAACATTAACTTCTCAACCTCCTTTAGCGGGGTTGCAGTAGCTACTACTGCCCGTAGGCAAGGAGACCATCCCTTAGCTGTTTGATCTAATTGTTCAGATCTGTCCAGGGAAGTTTGTCCTCAGCCATTAACATTACCATCTTGTGCTCCCTGTCTAGGGGAATGCCAATCTCCAGTTTGTCTCCCATTAGGTGGATAGTAACTCCTAATTTATGTAAGATATCCCTTCCTATCAGGGATATAGGACATTTGGGAATGTGTAGGAAGGAATGGGTGACGTGTTTGTCCAATTTGCATTTTAATGGCTCTGTGAATGCCCGTTCTTGGGCCTTCCCTGATACTCCCATAATTTTACAACTCTTATGACTGAGTGCCTGATCTGGTGTTCAGAACTGAGAAAGTAGCACCAGTGTTGACTAAGAATTCAACAGACTTTTCCCCAGTGTCCAGTCTCAGACGGGGCTTCTCGGGGGTCAATTGGAGTGCTGGCTTAGGAGCCCCTGGCCCCATTATTCTTCATCTATTTGGACCATCTGCCTTCGAGGGTTGTGGCCGGGTTCTGCCATTTCCATCCACCTTGGGGGGCACTGAGGGCATTGTCTCTTCTAGTGTCCCTCTTGTTTACATATGGCACACTGATTGGGTACTAGTTTTCTTGACTTGCTATACCTTGGTGGAGGCTGGGGATCACTCACCAGGTCGAGAATCTCCGTGGGTAGTTAGTTCAAATTCCCATGCCGTCTGGTTGACACTGAAGGGCAACAACCAGTAGGTGGGCTTGCCTCCAGGCCTTTTTATCCTCTATATTTTGGTTTTTAAACACCCAGTAGGCAACCTCAACCAGGTGAGAAGTACACCTAGTGTCAGGGGCACTTTGGGCCAGTTGACAGGTTTCTTTTCTGCTGCCTAGATTCCCTTTAGGAGTGATCTGTCCAGTCGAATTCAACGGCCACTATTTTCAACTCAGCATTGGTGTCTTTTCGAGGGACCAAAAACAAACAAAAAAACCCTTTTATTTACTTAGAAGTATTTGTCTGTCTCATCCTTGACTTTTAAATTTAATTCTCCATATGTGCTTTTATTCCCCTCCTCCACCATGCCCAATCCCAAATTCCTTTTTTCATCTTTTGCAGTTTGCACTGTTTTAGTTATTTACTTCCCTAATCTAGATGTGGATATGTCTTTACATCTGTTATTAAAATAAGAGTCTTTGTTGGTGATGTCTGGGTCATGCTGTCATTGGTATTAAAAATGTTCTCGTTTTCATTATCTGAACTCTTAGAAAACATGGTCATAATAGTCACACTGTTAGAAATTAAACTAGTACTATATCAGTACAAAGCACAACAGTTAATCCACAGACAAGGCCACAGACTAATTATTAAAGCTTATGATTGCAGTGCACTTAAATTGTACACTTAAATTGTATCACTCCAGAGTGATGCAACAGTGGATAAACCATTTTTGTAAACTGCAAACTGCCAGCATCAACAGCCAAGGGAAAAAAAAAGCAATAGTAAAGACCAGGAAATGCATAAAATCTTTGCCTTATCCACTTGAGAGGATAACAGTGTTGCTTACACCTTTACTTTTGGGACCACCTTATGGGTTTTGTACTTATTCTCCAACTTTCCCCAGCCATCCTCCCAAAGCAGGACTTTTGAAGTCCCTGGGAGGGATTTCCTGGGGCAGTTCCAGACAAAATTTTATGGTGGGTCATTCCACCTCAGTCTTCTCCTTTCATTTCTCCTTTTTTCTATCTGTCAATCCCCCCTTCTCCTTCATTCTCCTTTGCCTCTGTCCTCAGTCTCTCACTCTCAGTCCCTCATTCTCCCCCCTTTTGTCCTCTAGTCTCCACTCTCTGTTCTTATGCCTTAGGTCTTTTTGTCCCTTAGGCTTCCTTTCTCTTTTCCTCAGTTTCTCCTTTATTTTGTGTTTCAGTCTCCTCTTCCCTGTCTCAATTTTCTTTTTTTTTAAAAATAATTTTATTGAAGTAATATTGTGTTAGTTTGTGCCTTACAGCAAAGCAGCAAAGTGATTCAGTTATGCATATATATATATATATACACACATACTCTTTTTCCTATTCTTTTCCATTATGGTTTATTAAAGGATATTGAATATAGTTCCCCGTGCTATACAGTAGGACCTTGTTGTTTATCCATCAATTTTCCTTTTTTTCGTCAATCGCCCCCTGCGATTTATTACCATAATTGTAATTTCCCCTAGGAGGATTTCCTATAATAATTAGCATAAGTAACTGTTCATGCCCCTCTCTGCTGCCCAAGTTTTCCATCACTTTTGCCCCTCTCCCACACTGGAATCTCCTGGACCATTTAGCAGACCTTTTCAGTAGACTCTCCTACGAAAGGATTGCACCATTCCAAATTCCTCTTACACCAGTTACAGTCTTCCAGTAAAGTACTGCCCTACTGCAGATTCTTCCCCAATCCTGTAAAGTCTGCAATAGCTTCTACCTTACGCATTTGTATAATTCTCCTTTTTGTCATCTTTTCCCCCTCCCCTCGCTGCCGCGGTGGTACAGCCCAGCCTCAGGTTCCGAATAAACTGAATTCCTCTGCTTGTACGGAACTGGCCGGCCTTTCAAGATGGCGGCCCCCACTGAGACACAGCGCTTGGGGGCGGCCATATTGCCTCCTGAACAAAGACGCTCAGGGTGCGGAGCGGCCAAAATGCCCGGTACGGAACAGCGAAGGCCCGGGAGCCTCGTGCTTTGCTCACCCAGACAGGAAGCGAGAGAGTTCGCCGCTATGAATGTGACATCCGTACTGGGATAAGCTGTGGCAGGCGTTTTGGGACCTGATAATCGAGCTGGGGGTCAGAAGGGGGATTTATGGGTTGAGACCTGAGGAAGACTGAAATTGTTATTGGGACGGCGGTCCATGAGGGTCAGTAATTGAAGGTCTATGGGGTCAGTGGTGGGGAGTCTCTAGTATGAGTGTTGGGTATATATGTGGATCAGTCATAGGGAGAGCTGTGTTATTTGTGGGTCAGGGACCGCGGGCCTTTGCGCTGATGGGGTATCCGTGTGGCCAGTGATTTGTGGACCTATATGGCCAGTGCTGTGATGGGAGTGGGGGTGGAGGTGCTCTTTGAGATTTCTGATTTCTGCACCTGGTGATTCAGTGATTTTTAGAGGTTATTAATGGGGCCCAGAGCTGATACAGGTTAGTCCCAGTTTACTGGGAAATGCCTCACTTTACAGTCTGTGTAGGTCAGAGGCTACTCTCAAGGTGAAGCTCCTCCACAGATGTTTTTTCAAGCCATCATCTCTTTCCATCATTCATATCATCACAGAAGAAAACATCCTTTGAATGTAAGACCAAACAAATCTAAAGGGACAGGATTATTACTGTCAATTCCGTCGAGCCAAAAACTACCAGGAACACCCTGTAGTTGAATAAGTTGGGTTTATTGCTCTTGCATCTAGTTAGGAACACGTACACAGTGGGGACCGTTAAGGGTGTCTCGATAAGAGGGTGTTAGAAAACACTTGTTATAGGATTTGGCCTTGTGTTAGGTGATTTTGAGGAGGGTGTAGGGAACGGGCCTAGCTCTGAATTGGATGTTGTCAGGAAGTGGGGTAATTCAGTGAGTGGAAATTTTAATAAATCTTATCTAGAGAGAAGAATGACTAGGTTGAAGCTAAAGGTGTGATAGGTAAAAAAGTAGCAATCCTTCATGTTAGTTGGGAGAGGGGGATGTTTGGTATTTTGTGAATTGGAGAATGTTGATGTTTTGTCTGTGTTCAGGTATGATTTAAGAGAGGTGTTGTTTTTGTCTAGATCTGTCCTGGTCAGGGAGTGGCCTGTCTGATGTAAGTGTTTCTTGTAATTGTTCGTGTTAAATAGGAGAGTTATGAGTGCCAGGCCAGTTCTCAGATAGGAAGGGCTGCTTTTTCTCTTTCTCATGTAAGATTTGATTTCAGCCCTGCCTCTTCCTCAGTTTATTGCAGTGCTTCTATATTCTGTTCAACAAACATTTATTAAATGCCCGCTGTTTACTTGTTGCAGAGTTGGGTGTTCAGAGATGAGCATGACTGTTTAACTGTTTTCTTCCAGATTTATTTTGACAAAGCCTGGGATACCCTTTATGAAACAGTCTTCCTATCATGAGAGGACTCACTTCCTCTAAATGAGTTCAGCCCATGTCTGCATGACCCATCCTGGGACTGAGAAGATTACCAGGTAACTATCTTGCTGCATTGTGGTATGTTCATGTTTAACAGTAGTTCGAACCTATAACTATCTATTTTTTAATATAGAAACTGCACTATTAAAAATTAGCAATAAAAATTTAAACAGAAAACATCTTAAAATTAACAAAATCAATAATTTTAATCCATGAATACTGACTTGGCAAGAGAATTTGCCAAGTTAGGGGAAAACATGAAAGAGCTCTTAGGATTTTACTGGCTGCTTCTGTTTAGGGAATATGGGAATGCATATTCCCTAAACAGAAGCAGTTTTCTACTTCGTCATTCCCATTCTTATTGCCAGGCATCTGCTCCATCTTTACATATATATCCATGATTATTGTCTTATGGTAGTTCTGCATATAGAATAACAAATATAATTGCTGATCCAAAGGGGAACAATAAGGTGTTAGTAAGTCAACAGAAAACATATCAGCATTCATCCAATTAAAAATACACCTTGTCCAAGTTCTGTGTGATCATATTATAATCACAAGAGGGCTTCCTTCACATGGTGGTTCGGTAAGGACTCTTCCGTAGGACCAAATGACCTTCTTCTACAGGGTGGCCTGTTATCCACGTGACTTTTGGTGGTAGTGTTTCTAGACTGGTGAATGTCAGTTCTGGCTCCAGGAGGCTCCATTCTATCTCCTAGTCCTGATTCCTCAGACCTTTTCCCTTTTGGAAGAGAAGCAGAAGATGACCAAGTCTCAGGTGAGTTGCTTGCTTACTTTGTACTTGATTTCCATACAATGAAATAGAAAAGAGTGGAAAGTCAAAAATTAGGATTAGGGAAAATGTAGAGAGAACGAAAGATAAAGACTTGAAAAGAGTTACTATGTAATATGCAGATTATATATTTTGAAACCACATGAAACCACTATTAAACTATAGTTCATATATATATATTCGTTATATATAAATTTTGAGAAGACACAGTGGAAAGTTAGAGAATATCATATGCATGATTTGCATTTTCATGTACCATTTGTTGAATAATCCACTTACTTGAAGTGGATGCTGCCTTGATTAAATTTCCATTTGTGATTAGGTCTCTTGCTTTCCTGTTCTCTTGCTGTGTTTGACTCTTTTTGCTGAAGATAGATCTTTACATCATTTTTCTCAATAGGCATAATGTAGAACTGGGAATGTAGTTTTGTATACTGTGGTAAAAATGATGAGAATGATCAATTCAGATTGAACAGGAGCATGCTATTACAGGGTCCAGTGTCATTCGAGGATGTGGCTGTAGATTTCACCCAGGAGGAGTGGCAGCAACTGGACCCTGCTCAGAGGACCCTGTACAGGGATGTAATGCTGGAGAACTACAGCCACCTGGTCTCAGTGGGTAAGGATGGCTTCCCAACATAACTCAGAGTTAGCCAATCCAGTGCCTCTCACTGGAATTTGATTGAGTTGGGTGGGTTCTTGACCTACTTGTGACTTTTTGCTCTCTTTCTTCTCTCCAGTGGAAGGTCATTACTGTTCTGAGGGCCAGCTGGACAACTTCATTGTAGGGCTCCTAAAACTGTATCTTTTCTTCTTTCTTCAGTGTAGTCAACTCAATTCCTCAATTTTTTTTTATCATAGGGTATCCAGTTTCCAAACCAGGTGTCATATCTAAGTTGGAACAAGGAGAAGAGCCATGGATTATGAAGAGAGACATATCAAATTGGATCTATCCAGGTGAAAATCTGGCAGATGGAAGACAAAGGAAGTGAAATATCAGTTTGTTTTTGTTTTTAATTGGTTGGCAACTAAGACTTACATTTCCACCCAGATTGATAACTCCTATTCCTTCTTGCTCCTGTGCTGTGCGTGTAGTAGGTATTCGACAACTAGTTAATTCAGTAGTAGTGAGCCATGTACAGAAGAGAAATTTCTTATTGATCCACTCAACAATCATATCTTTAGTACCTTTCTAAAAGAGTCAAAGACAATAGAAGGCAAATGCTTTTCAGGAACATAGGTTATACATAGAAAGACAAGACATCAAGATTTACAGCTATATAAAATTGCACGTCCAATATAGTTACTGCTTCAGGGGTTCAGTGAAAATTATAGTCTAAAGAGATGTGGCATAATTTAAGAAGGCATTTTTCAAAGCATGAACCAGCTACTTTGAAGCATATCTGAAGTGTGGCTTAGGCAGAAGGAGGAAGGTGAGGGCAAGCTCTAGGAAAGGACATGTACAAATCCTTGGAGTTAGAAATCAACATGGCTTATCTGATAGAAATTTTCTAGGCTTACTTGACTTTAATAAAAGATATTTATTGGGGAATAGTGGAATATAAAGTTGGTTACATATTGTGACTACAGCTATGTTTCACTAGCTGTACCCTGAAATTTTCTGTTATTATTTTTTTAAGCAGCTTTGAGATATAATTCATATGCCATACAGTTCACCCATTTAAAGTCAGCAGTGGTTTTTAGGATATTCACAGATTTGTGCAACTGTCACCACAGTCTATTTTAAGACAGTTTTATCACCTCCAAAAGAAACCCTATACCCTTTAGCTATCACACCCCTTCTTCCCATCTCCCCAGCCCTAAGCAATCATTAATCTGCTTTCTGTCTGTATTGATTTGCCTCATTCTTGATATTTCATATAAATGTATTCATATAATCTGTGGTCCTTTGTGACTGACTTCTTTCATAATGTTTTCAAGGTTCATCCACATTTTAGCATGTATCAGTACTTCATTCCTTTTTTGGCTGAATAATATTACATTGTATTGATATACTACATTTTGTTAATCCATTCATCAGTTGTTGGATATTTGGCTTGTTTCCACCTTTTAGCTACATGAATAATGCTACTATTAACATTCATGTACAAGTTTTTGTATAGACATATCTTTTTTTTTCCTTTGGTGTGTACCTAGGAGTAGAATTGCTGGGTAATATAGCAACTGTATGTTGAACCAAAACGGTCCCTGAAGACTAATTAGGTTGAGCATTTTTTCATGTGCTTATTGGCCATTTATTTATGTTCTTTGGAGAAATGTCTATTCAGATCACTTGTCCTTTTTTTTTGAAGTATAGTTAACTTACAATATTAGTTTCAAGTGTACAACATAGTGATTCAACATTTTAATAGATTATACTCCATTTAAAGTTATTACAAAATAATGGCTATATTTTCCTGTGCTGTACAATATATTCTTGTTTATTTATTTTATACATAGTAGCTTGTATCTCTTAATCCCCATCCCTATCTTGCCCCCCATCCATTTTTGAATTGAGTTATTTGTCTTTTATTATTGAATTATGAGCTCTTTATATAAAGTTCCTATATAGAACTTCCATGTAAAGTTTGTTATATAGATATAATTCTTTGTATAGCATTCTTATTTGATATAAATCTCTTATCAGATAAATGATTTGCACATACTTCCTCCCATGTTTTCTTTTTACTTTCTTGATTGTGTCATTGAAGCACACATTGAAGAGTTTTTAACTCTTTTTTTAAAATTTTTAAAAATTTTTGGCTGCATTGGGTCTTCATTGCTGAGCACGGGCTTTCTGAGTTGTGGCGAGCGGGGGCTACTCTTGGTTGTGGTGCGCAGGCTTCTCATTGTGGTGGCTTCTCTCCTTGCGGAGCACAGGCTCTAGGTGCCCGGGCTTCAGTAGTTGCAGCATGTGGACTCAGTAGTTGTGGCACGTGGGCTCAGTAGTTGTGGTGCATGGGCTTAGTTTCCCTGCGGCATGTGAAATCTTCCTGGACCAGAGATCGAACCCATGTCCCCTGCACTGGCAGGCAGATTCTTAACCACTGTGCAACCACGGAAGTCCCAAGAGTTTTTAATTTTGATGAAGTGTAGTTTATCTATTTTTTTTTGTCATTTGTGCTTTGGTGTCATATCCAAGAATCCATTGCCAAATCCAATGTCATGAAGATTTACCCCTATATTTTTTTCCTAAGAGTTTTGTACTTTTAGCTCTCACATTTAGGTCTTTGATCTGATATTTTGAGTTAATTTTTGCATATGGTGTGGGGTAAGGGTCCAACTTCATTCTTTTGCCTGTGGTAATCCAGTTGTTCCAGCACCATTTATTGAAAAGACTCTCCTTTTCCCATTGAATGGTCTTGGTACCCTTGCCAAAAATCAGTTGGCCATAAATGAAAGGGTTTATTTCCGGACTGTCTATACTATTCTGTTGATCTATATATCTGTATATCTGTTCTAAAGCCAATATCACACTCTCTTGATTACTGTTGTTTGTGGTAAGTTTTGAAATTGGGAAGTATCATTCTTCCAACATTGTTTTTCTTTTTCAGCATTGTTTTGGCTCTTCTGGGTCCATATGAATTTTAGAATCAGAGTATCAGTTTCCACAAATAAACGTCTTCAGATTCTGATAGGGATTGGTTGGATTTGTAGATCGATTTGAGGAGTATTGCCATGTTAACAGTATTAAGTCTTCTGATCCCTGGAACATGAAATGTTTTTCCATTTATTTAGATCCTCTTTAACTTCTTTCAGCAATGTTTTCTAGTTTTCAGAGTGTAAGTTGTGTACATCTTTGTTAAACATACTTCTTAGTATTTTATTCTATTTGATACTATTGTAAATGAAATTGTTTCATTAACTTTATTTTTGGACTGTCCATTGCAAGTGCATAGAAATGCAATTGATTTTTGAATATTGGTCTGGGATCCTGCAAACTCACAAAGTTTACTGGTTCTAATAGTTTTTAGCTAATTCTTTAGGATTTTCCATATAAAATGAATTTGTCATCTGTAAATAGAGATCGTTTTAAATATCCCTTTACACATTGGATGCTTTTTATTTCTTTTCTTGGTTAACTACCCTGGCTAGAACCTCTAGTACAATGTTGAATAGAATGGAGAGTGGACATCCTTGTCTTGTTCCTGATCTTATGGGAAAAATCCAGTCTTTTACCATTAACTTATGTTAGCTGTAGGTTGTCATGCCCTTTGCCAGGTTGTGGAAGTTCCTTTCTATTCCTAGTTTGGTGAGTGTTTTTATCATGAAAATGTGTTGCATTTTGACAAATGTTCTTTCTGCATCTGTTGAAATGATCTATTTATGTGATGTGTTAATGAATTTTAATTAATAGATTTTTGGACAACAAACCAACCTTATATTTCTGGATAAGTTCCACTTGGTGATGGTGTATAATTCTTTTTATATGTTACTGGATTTGGTTTACTAGTTGTATTGGGGGTCTGCAAGACCACCTTCAGTTCTGCTGATTTGCTAGAAGGACTCACAGATTGAGAAAAACTGATACATTCATGGTTATGGTTTATTACAGTGATAGAATTTACCAGTCTAGATATGGACATTTCTTTGTGGGAAGATTTTTATTTATTAAGTTTCTTTCCTTGATGTGGATCTATGTAGATTATTTACTTTTTCTTGAGTCAGTTTTGGTAGGTTGTTTTTTTTTCCAAGGAATTTTTCTAGTTCATTTAAATTGTCATATTTATTGGTATAAATTTTTTTCATAATATTCCCTTTTTGTTCTTTTATGTCTATAGGATCTCTAGAGATGTTCTGTCTTTCATTCCTGACACTGATACTTTGTTTTCTTCTTTCCTCATCACTAGCTAAAACATAACGATTTCATTAATTGTTTTTCAAATAATCAGGTTTTGATTTCATTTATTTTTCTTTATTGTTTGTCTGTCTTCTATTGATTTCCACTCTGATCTTTATTGTTTCCTGTTTTCTGTTTATTTTAGGTTTAATTTGCTCTTTTTCTAGCTTCTTAAGGTAGAAGCTTAGATCATTAATTTGAAACCTTTATTGTTTTCTAGTATGAACATTTAAATATAGATAGTCCTTACTTTGTATGGTAGTGAGGGACCGTAAAAATTACCATGGAAGCCAGAACTTTGCCAAGTAATTTTTATAATCAACGGGAAAAATTGTAATTGATTTTGACCTTTAAACATTTTTCGTCAAAACATAAAAAGTTATCTTGGGGACTTCCCTGGTGGTCTAGTGGTTAAGACTTTGCCTTCCAATGCAGGGGGTGCAGGTTCGATCCCTGGTTGGGGAGCTAAGATCCCACATGCCTTGTGGCCAAAAAACCAAAACATAAAACAGAAGCAGTATTATAACAAATTCAGTAAAGACTTAAAAAAAAAATGGTCCACATCAAAAAAAAAAAAAGAAAATTGAAAAAAAATGCTATCTTGCTGTTGGTTATAACTATTTATAGAGATGAAAATGTAGTAAAACTAATATTTATTTACTACCCTGCAATTTAAAACATTGGAAGCACTGAAAATGTCTTTTATTTCTTTTAAAAAACTCTATGTAGAGTGGTTTGAACAGTGCTTGCCTTCTTATAATTGTATAACTTATGATAAGGAGTTAACATGTTCTCTGTGCCTTAGTGAATTGTCATATTACTTTCTAAGGTTGGGTCAGCTTCCAACATTTTCTCCTTTGTGCTTTCAGTGTTGTGAAATATGTCGAAGGTAATGTGAAAATTTAGGCATCACTTTCTTTGAAATATTTTTATCCTTTCCATCACAACCCAGAAATTTATGTTGATAAGTTTGCCTTCACTAAGTTCCTCTGGCTGCATATCTAAAGTCTCATAAATAGTGGCAATGCCAACATGGTCAGCTATTTTCTAATCACATCCAGTGTTGTTTCTTTGCTGCATTTACATCTTTGTTGGTCAGTTCCCTCTTTCAGTTACGCATTTTTGGATGATTAGGGTAATTTGGATAATGTCACGTGGGTTTATCAATGGGATACAAGGAAGAAACAAACTACACACTTTGCTGTCTGTATATATATTGGACAACAGATGTGAAGTTAATTGTCACCAACAGACTTTGAAAGAAGTGAAATGATTGGGTACTGATCATGATGTGTATCTGTTATTTATTTAGTGATTTATGGACTGAAGAGCTAGCAGTGAAGTTTGTACTTTATGCTGTTAGACATACTGTGGTCATTAAAGTGTGAACTATGTTGTTGGCAGACTGGTGTTATTTAACTAAACTGTGGTAACTAAATTTCATGCTTGTTGAAATCTTGCAAAATGAGGATTACCTTCATATAATTTGTCCTCTAAGCATGAAGCTGTGTCCCACAATTTTTGATATTTTGTGTTTTCATTTTCATTCAATTCAAGTTATTTTCTAATTTCTCTTTGGACTTTTCGACACATAGTTTATTTACAAATATGTTATTTAATTCCCACATATTTGGGGAGATTTCTGATATTTCTTTTTGTTATTTATTTCTAATTTAGTTCCATTATGGTTGGAAAATATACTCTGTATGATTTCCATCCTTATAAAATTATTGCAGCTTGTTTTGAAGCCCAGTATATAGTCTATTCTGATGTTTGATTAATGTGTTCTTGAAATGAATGTGTGTTCTGTTGTTGGATGGGGTATCTGTAGATGTCAGTTAAGTCAAGTTCATTGATATTTACTGATTTTCTTTGTCTACTTGTCTTTTTTTAAAATATATTTTTAAAATATGACTTGAATTTTATTTATTTGTTAATTATTATTTTTTAAAATTTATTTTTGGCTGCGCTGGGTCTTTGTTGCCCCGCACAGGCTTTCTCTAGTTGCGGTGAGTGAGGGCTACTCTTTGTTGCGGTGGGTGGATTTCTCACTGTGGTGGCTTCTCTTGTCAAGGAGCATGGGCTCTAGGCGCACGGGCTTCAGTAGTTGCAGCACGTAGGCTCAGTACTTGTGGCTCGCGGGCTCTAAAGCGCGGGCTCTAAAGCACAGGCTCAGTAGTTGTGGCGCATGGGCTTAGTCGCTCCGCGGCATGTGGGACCTTCCCAGACCAGGGCTCAAACCCGTGTCCCCTGCATTGGCAGGTGGATTCTTAACCACTGTGCCACCAGGGAAGTCCTTAATAGACCATTTTCATTCCTCTGTTTATTTTTTAGTTGGTAGTTGTGTGTGTGTGTGTGTGTGTGTGTGTGAGATGTTGCTATAGGGATTACAATATATTTATTTTCTTATAACCCACCTTATGTTGATACTGCTTTTTTTTCTCTCACAAATTATAGAAACTTGCACTAGCATAGCTCCATTTTCTGCCCTCCTGAACCACCTTGTGCTGTTTTGTTCTTTTAGTCATGTATGTTACATTTGTATTTGTCATAACTTTGACAGTATAGTGTTACTGTTTTTGCTTTAAAAAGTCTTTTGAAGAAATTAGAAGGAAATATTTTAAAAATTATACATATTTAAATCCTTTATATTTACCCAAACAGTTTAAAATTTTTCTGTTGTCTTGTAGATTTGAGTTATCATCTGGTATTATTTGTTCAGCAGGAAAGACTTTCTTTAGTATTTCTTATAGATCAGTTCTGTTGGTAACTTTTTTTGTTTATCTGGAAATGTCTTCATTTTCCCATTATTAAAGTTTCACTGAATGTAGAATTCTTGGTTGACAGGTTGCTTTCTTTTAGTATTTTGACTGTCATTCCAGTATTTCCTGACCTCAGTTTTTTTTTGGTGTGTGTGTGTGTTGAAAATTCAGCCAACAGTACTGTTATTCTTTGATACATGATGTGTCACTTTTTCCTGCTGCTTTGAAGATTTTTCTTTTTGCCTTTATTTTTCAGCAGTTTAATTCTGATTTGGCTGGTTGTCTTGGTATCCTTCCTGGGGTCTGTTGAGCTTCTTCTATGTGCAAACTAATGTTTTCCACCGAATTTGGTAATTTTAAAGACATTTCTCCAGATTTCTTTTGGCTCTTCCCCCCCCCCCCTTTCTAAACTCCAATTACACGTATACTGGAATGCCTAACTGCTCCACAGATCTTGAGATTCTATTTTTTTAATAATTTTTCTTTTTGTTCTTTGGATTGAATAATTTCTAGTGATACATTTTCAAGTTTACTGATTCTGATTTTGCCTTCTGCTGTCTCAAATCCACTAATGAGCCCATCTGGTGAAATCTTCATTTCAACTTTAGAATTTTCATTTATTTTTTAATTTACATAAAATAAATGTTACTCTTCCTTTAAATTTTGAAAAAGGCATAGAGTAAGTTAACTGCCACCACAATCATGATACAGAAAAGTTCCATTACTCTTCAAAAATTCTTCTTCCTGCCTCTTATAGTCAAACTGGTTCTTTTATATTCTTCTTTCCTCTTTTGAAATTGTCAGTTTATTCACTTGTTCCTTAGAATATTTTCCCTTAGTTTTTTGAATATGTTTATAATAGCTTCTTTAAAGTCTTTGCTAAATCCAACATTTGCACCCATTTGGAGTCAGTTTCTATTGACTGATTTTGTTCCTTAGTATAGGTCACATTTTTTTCCTTATATGTGTAGTAATTTTTGGTTGAAAGCTCTACATTGTAGACAGTACGTTATAGTGTCTTTGGATCCTTTTGTTCCTTCTGAGAGTTTTTGTTTTAGAGGCACTTGCTTGGGCTTAAACTGTGACATCTTTCTGTCCTGTGGAGTGTCATCACTCATATCTCTGCTTAGTTTTTGTTTGTTTGATTAAGCCTGGCTATAGATGTGAACTAATGATTTGGACAGGTTTATTAGACACCTAAAGCCAGTATGACTTTTACTTTTTGCCACCTGGATTTTGCATGTCTCAGAACACTTTAAAAGCATAGGAAATTTGCAAGTTTCCCCAGCCTTTCAATCACTGCTGGGCTCACTAGGGTCTCTTTTCACAAATATTTTAGCAGTCAGGTAGGAATGTATGGCAAGTTCATTATCTCAACCTTTCTATGATTCTTTTGCGTACAAATTCTCCTTGTTAAATTCCTAGCTGCTCTACTATCAGCATAAAACTGTATCCTGTGGATTTGTGTTATCTCTCAATGCCCCATGAACTAGGGATGCAAGACAGGAAAACCTTAGGAAAGAATGCCACAAACGCCCCATTCTTACCTAATGAAGTAGAAGTTTTTGACAAGTAAACACTTTTCACCTTGTGGCCTGCGTTTGGTAGTTTTCCAGTGCCCTGAATTGGTTGTTTTTAAAATTATTTTATTCAGCTTTATACTTGTTTTCTGAGGAGGGGAAGTCCGTGACTACCTCATGCCACCATTATCAGAAGTAAAGTCCATCTTTAGTTACTCATCCAATAAATTTACATGTTTTGTTGTGTTTTAAATGGGCTGTTGCCCGCCCGGTTCTCTGTCTTCATGGACCATCCTGGATCATCCATTTGTTTCACCTCTTCTGTCCTCTACTCAATCTTTGTCTCTGTTTGATTTTATCTCTACAATTTTATTCTTTCAGACAGGGAGACTAGACTTGACACACATCAATTGGATACACTTGGAGATGTTTACTTTCATAAGGACATACTGGAAAGTGTCACAAGGGATCATTCATTGTACTCCGTTTTAAAGGTCTGGCAAGGCGACCAGCTGGAGAGAGATCAGGAAAATCAAGACAGACTTCTCAGGCAAGTCACAATCATCAACAACAAAACAGTTATTGAAGAGTCAAACTATACATATAATGCATTTGGAAAAATATTTCATAACTGCACAGACCTAGATACTTCAAGACAAAGACTGTATAAGTGTGATTCATTTGAAAAGAGCTTGGAACCTACTGTAAACCTATTCAGTTGTAATAGGGGTTATGCAAGAAAAAACACAGATGAGAATTTTGGATGTGGGAGAACACCTAGTTCTTCCTATTCTAAGCATGAAAAAATTCATAATAGAATGAAACACTGTGCAGGTAGTCAGTATGGAAAAATCATCAGCGATAAACAATCTCTTATTCAATATGTGAATGTTGAAACTGGGGAGAAGATCTGTGTATGTATTGAATGTGGAAAATCTTTTCTCAAGAAGTCACAGCTCATTATACATCAAAGAATTCATACTGGAGAGAAACCTTATGGTTGTAGTGCTTGTGGGAAAGCCTTCAGTGAGAAATCACATCTCATTGTACATCAGAGGACACATACTGGGGAGAAACCTTACGAATGTTCTGAATGTGGAAAAGCCTTCTCTCAAAAATCATCCCTCATTATCCATCAGAGAGTTCATTCTGGTGAAAAACCATATGAATGTAGTGACTGTGGGAAAGCTTTCTCCCAGAAATCACCGCTCATTATACATCAGAGAATACATACTGGTGAAAAGCCATATAAATGTAATCAGTGTAGGAAGGCCTTCTCCCAGAAGTCACAGCTGATTATACATCATAGAGCTCATACTGGAGAGAAGCCCTATGAGTGTACTGAATGTGGGAAAGCCTTCTGTGAGAAGTCCCACCTCATCATACATAAAAGGATTCACACAGGGGAGAAACCCTACAGATGTGCTCAGTGTGAGGAAGCCTTCAGCAGAAAGTCAGAACTCATTATACATCAGATAATTCATACTGGGGAGAAACCTTATGAATGTACTGCATGTGGGAAGACCTTCTCCCGGAAGTCACAGCTCATTATACATCAGAGAACGCATACTGGAGAAAAGCCCTATAAATGCAGTGAATGTGGAAAAGCCTTCTGTCAGCAGTCACATCTCATTGGACATCAGAGGATTCACACAGGAGAAAAACCTTACGTTTGTACTGAATGTGGGAAAGCCTTCTCTCAAAAGTCTCACCTCCCAGGACATCAGCGGATTCATACAGGAGAGAAACCTTATATATGTGTTGAATGTGGAAAAGCCTTTTCCCAGAAGTCAGACCTTGTTGTACATCAGAGAATTCATACTGGGGAGAAACCTTATCAATGTGCTGTATGTGGAAAAGCCTTCATCCAGAAATCACAACTCACTGTACATCAGAGAATTCATATAGTGGTGAAATCATAAGAATGGACAAAGCATAGAAAAGCCTTCAGTATCTGTTCAAGCCTTAATAAGTACAACAAAACTCACAGATTTAATGTGTTTCTAGGCATCTTTGTTGGTACTATTTTACAAATGAAATCATATTTCTAATGTAATTAATTTTTTTATCAAAGATAATACAAGACAAAAAAGTTTTGTTTATATAAATTTTCATTTCGGCATGTTAAATTTTTAAGATTTGGAACTGAATGATTAGCATAACAGAACAAATTACATATAGTCTATTTTGAAGTTACATGTTCCTGATTATACTACATAATAAGTTAGGCATGTGGTAATATTGTTAATATTAGCCTCTCGTAATTACGGCCATGCAGTAATTCCCCAAAGAGGACATGAAGAAAGCATGAGTCAAGAAGTGCCAAGACCTAGAAACTGCACTAAGGGGAGGGGACTTGACCATCAGACCCTAAAAGTATATGTAAAATTCTTCTTATACAATGATGGAAAGATGGGTTGAAAAGGTTCAATAAATGTGGTCTTTTTGTGTTTTTTAATTTTGATAATATAAGTTGATTTGTGTCTGTGGATGGACCCAGGACCTTGGAATTGGCACTGCTTGCTCATTTCTCCCTTTTACCCCACCCTCCTAGGAGCTTGGTGTGGTGGAAAGACATTGGTTCTAAAGTCAGATGGCCATGAGTTTTAACCCTTGTTCCCTTATTAATAGATTGTGTGACATCTATGAAGACCTTTTTAACCCTCAGTGTCTGTTTGCTCATCTGTATGTGAAATCCTGGCAGACAGCACATTTTTTTTTTTAGTTCTGATATATACATTTTAAAGTAATAACTAGAATTATGACTTATAACATTATACCAGAACATATAAGATTTTTAGAAATTTCATGTAATGTCTGAAACATTTATATTAACATATTTACATACAAATAACCCAAAGAAAGTTTAATATTAGTTGTTTTTTTGTTTGTTTTTTTATACTGCAGGTTCTTATTAGACATCAATTTTATACACATCAGTGTATACATGTCAATCCCAATCGCCCAATTCAGCACACCACCATCCCCACCCCACCACGGCTTTCCGCCCTTGGTTTCCATACGTTTGTTCTCTAAATCTGCAGACAGCACATTCTTAGCTAATATTTGTCCTGTTTATCCCTCTCTCTTCTCTTGAAATAGGCTACTAATTCCAATGTGCACACATTTAAATTTGATTTGCATTTAAGACACACTGCTTCTGATCTCAGATTTCCTGTCCTCTCCTTTGTCCATTTCACTGCCTTTGTGTCTGGTGATATAACTCATGCTATGTTAAAGAGACCTCAATTACTTTTCATTTATTTTATTTTGCAAACACATACAAATTGTGATATATCTATATCTGTATCTAGTTCATTCTAATATATATATGGAAATACTAAGGGATAAGAATAGGCAAGTCACTCATTGAGAACAAATGTTAGAGAATTGATCAGACTAAGGTTTCCCACAAAGCTGTAGTAATGTAGGCAATATAGTATTGACACAAGAGTGACAAAAATAGATGAATGAAATGAGAGCCTGAAAATGAAAAAATTATATATGAGTAACTTTATGACAAAAGTATTGTAATCAGAAGGGGAAAAATTATCTTTTTATTAAATTGTTCTGGGTCAATTAATCTAAATATAAATATGAAATGCAAAATGACAAAGTTTCCAGGTAGTTATATAGGAGACTTTTCATAGCCTTAGGATAGGGAAAAATGTTTAACACTGCATGAAGAAAAGATTGATAAAATGGCTTATATTAATATTAAAATTTCTTCTGTGTTAAAAGAAGTGATTAGTTTGGAATAAACTTGGATGTATCTAGCAAAATTACATATGCAATTTCTAAACATTTTTAGGACTCTTCTAAAGATATGTTGGAGAAATATTAAGAGATGCATGCTTGGGACTTCCCTGGCAGCCCAGTGGTTAAGACTTCGCCTTCCAATGCAGGGGTGCAGCTTCGATCCTTGGTTGGGGAGCTAAGATCTCACATGTCTCAGGGCCAAAAAACCCAAAACATAAAACAGAAGCAATATTGTAACAAATTCAATAAAGACTTTAAAAATAGTCCACATCAAAAAAAATGTTAAAAAAAAAGAGGTGCATACTTATGTTTATTTATCATAGCACTATTCACAGCAGAAAAAAGACAGTAAACAGCCTAAATGATTATTGATAGAAAATGTTTAAATATAGTGTATCTGCACGCTGGGGACCGTGCAACTCTAAGAAGGAATGAGATATGTCTTTTTATACTCTCCAGTCATGTTCTTAAATAAAACAAGGCACAGAGAATTACAGTACACTGTCTTCTAAGAAAAACAGGTAGTGGTGGGAACAAGTGGACATATTTTCTTATATATAAGTACAGATGCTGAAAGGAAAGACCCAAATATTAAAATGTTTTGTTCTAAGGTGACTGAACATGGTGGAAAGGATAGTGATATCCCTTAGACCTCTCATGAATGTAACTTGGTTTTGTATAATTGACTTTGGAACCATGTAAATAGTATAGATAGTAACAAAACAAAGTCAAAATGAAGTGACACCTAAAAATTTAGCAAAATGAAAGTAAACACGTATAGCATTGGTGGTTAACCATATCGAGAAATAATTTCAAGTAACTTTAAACTGTTTGTTTTTCCTGGTGGGATACATCATAAGGATAAAGGAATGGCAAAGAAGGGTTTTTTCAGTAAGTGTTCTGTTACTCATAATACTGGTATTGATAATAATATTGGACACGTATACAGAGAGAAGAAAAAAAATGAAGGAATGAAGGAATGGATCAAATAAATACAGTAGTCCCCCCTTATCTATCTGCGGTTTCGCTTTCTGTGTTTTCAGTTACCTGTTGTCAACCTCCATCTAAAAATATTAAATGGAAAATTCTGTAAATACTTCGTAAATTGCACATCATACTGAGTAGTGTGAAGAAGTCTTTTACTGTCCCACTCCCTGGGACATAAATCATCCCTTTGTCCAGTGTATCCTGCCTGTGAAGTCACTTAGTAGTAATTTCGTTGATCAGATCAACTGTCATGGTATCACAGTGCTTGTGTTCAAGTAACGCTTATTTTACTTAGTAATGGCCCTGAAGCACAATAGTAGTGATGCTGGCAATTAAGATATGCCAAAGAGAGGCTGTGAAATGTTTTCTTAAAGTGAAAAGGTAAAAGTTTTTGACTTAGTAAGGAAAGAAAAAAATTGTATGCTGAGATTGCTAAGACCTATGGTAAGAACAAATCTGTGAAATTGTGAAGATGGAAAAATAATTCATGCTGGTTTTGCTGTCACACCTCAGACTTCAAAAGTTATGGCCACAGTGCATGATAAGTGCTTAAGTTAAGATGGAAAAGGCATTAAATTTGTACAAGAAGATATTTTGAGAGAGAGGCCACATTCAGATAACTTTTATTACAGTATATTGTTATAATTGTTTAATTTTTATTTATTGTCTCTTATTGTGCCTAATTTGTAAATTAAACTTTATCATAGGATGTATGTATAGGAAAAAACAGAGCTCAATTTCAGGCATCCACTGCAGGTCTTAAAACATCCCCTGTGGTCAAGGGAGAACTACTGTAGTTATGAATGTCTTTAGGAACCAAAGATTTCAGGTGTATGATAAAAAATTACATACCAAAGATGTTAAGTAAAAACCTTATAATTCTAAATTTGGTTTTCTCCCTAGAGTTATTGAGATACAGTTGACATAGTATTGTGTAAGTTTAAGGTGTACAAAGTGATAATTTGATACATGCAATATATATTTATAATGTGACATTTACCACAATATGGTTAGTCAACAGCTTCATCACCTCACATAGTTATCATTTTATTTTTGTGGTGAGATCATTTAAGATTTACCCTCAGCAACTTTCAAGTATATGATATAGTATTGTTAGCTGTAGTCACCATACTATACATTATATCCCCAGAACTTATTTATTATATAACTGGAAGTGTGTACCATTTGACCAGCATCTCATCTTCCCTGGCCCTCAGCCCCTGGCAGCCACCAAACTACTCTCAATTTCTATGAGTTTAGCATTTCCATATTTTATATATGTGGGGTCATTGAGTATTTATATTTCTGTATCTGACTTTACTTACCATAATGCCCTCAGGGTCCATCCATGTTGTCACAAATGGCAGGATTTCCTTTTTTTCCCCAGTTTTATTGAGATATAACTGACATATAACATTGTATAAGTTTAAGATATACAGCATAATGATATGCATATATTGTGAAATGATTGCCACTGTAAATTTAGCTAACATCCATCACTTCATATAGCTACAGGTTTTTTCCTGTGCTAAGAACTTTCAAGATTTACTCTGTTAGCAACTTGCAAACATATGATGCAGTATTGTTAACTTTAGCCACCGTGCTGTACAGGAATTCCTTCATTTTTTATAGCTGAATTTTATATATGTATATATATCTATATATATAGTCATATGTAGTTTTTTAAAATAAATTTATTTACTTATTTATTTTTGGCTGCATTGGGTCTTGGTGGCTGTGCACGGGCTTTCTCTAGTTGCGGTGAGCAGGGGCTACTCTTTGTTGTGGTGCAGGGGCTTCCTTGTTGCAGTGGCTTTTCTTGTTGCGGTGGCTTCTCTTGTAGAGCACAGGCTCTAGGCACACGGGCTCAGTACTCGTGGCTTGTGGGCTCTAGAGCGCAGGCTCAATAGTTGTGGCGCATGGGCTTAGTTGCTCCGCGGCATGTGGGATCTTCCTGGACCAGGGCTTGAACCCGTGTCCCCTGCATTGGCAGGCAGATTCACCACTGTGCCACCAGGGAAGTCCTGTCATGTAGTTATAAAAATGACTATTGTGATTAATGCTGCAGTGAACATGGGGGTGTAGGTGTCTCTTCAAGTAGTGATTTCACTTCCTTTTGATATATATGCCCACAAGCAGGACTTTTTTAGAAACCTCCATATGTTTTCCATAATAGCTGTGCTGATTTACATTCATACCAGTAGTGTATAGGGTTCCCCTTTCTCTGCATCGTTGCCAACATGTTATCTGTCTTTTTGATAATAGCCATTCTAACAGGTATGAGGTTAGAATGGTTTTGATTTGCTCTTTTCTGATGATTAGTGATGTTGAGCACCTTTTCGTATACCTGTTGACCATTTGGATGTCTTCTTTGGAAAAATGCCTATTCAATTTCTCTGCCCATTTTATAATCAGATTGTTTCTTTGCTATTGAGTTGTATGAGTTCCTTATATATTTTGGATATTAACCTCTTACCAGATCAGTGATTTGCAAGTATTTCCCCCCCTTCCATAGGTTGTCTTTTCATTTTGTTATTTCCTTTTCAGAAGCCTTTTAATTAATTTATTTATTTAGATTTATAATTATTTTTATTTAAAAAATTTTTATACATCTTTATTGGAGTATAACTGCTTCACAATGCTGTGTTAGTTTCTGTTGTACAACAAAGTGAATCAGCCACATGCATACGTATATGCCCATATCCCCTCCCTCTTGAGCCTCCCTCCCACCCTCCCTATCCTACCCCTCTAGGTCATCACAGAGCACCGAACTGATCCCTGTGCTATGCTGCTGCTTCCCACTAGCTATCTATTTTACATTTGGTAGTGTATATATGTCAGTGCTACTCTCACTTAACCCCAGATTCCCCTCCCCTGCCACCCATGTCCTCAAGTCCATTCTCTATGTCTGCGTCTTTATTCCTGCCCTGCCATTAGGTTCATTAGTACCATTTTTATTTTAGATTCCATATATATGCATTAGCATACGGTATTAGTTTTTCTCTTTCTGACTTACTTCACTCTGTATGACATATACAATGGAATATTACTCAGCCATAAAAAGAAACGAAATTGAGTTACTTGTAGTCAGAAGCTTTTTAGTTTGATGTAGTTCCACTTGTTTATTTTGTTTTTATTTCCTCTGGTTTGGATGTCATATCCAAAAAAAATCATTGCCAAGACCAATGTCAAGGAGCTTTTCCCCTGTTTTCTTCTAGGAGTTATATGGTTTCAGGTAAATTTAGTCTTTAATCCATTTTGAGATAACTTTTGTGAGTAGTGTAAGGTAGGGGTCCAGTTTCATTCTTTTGAATGTGGATACCCAGTTTTCCCAGCACCATTTAATGAAGAGATTATCCCTTCTCCATTGTGTGTTCTTGATGAAGATTAGCTGACTGTATGTGTATGGGTTTATGTCTGGGCTCTCTATTCTGTTCTGCTAGTTTATGTGTCTGTTTTTATGGCAGTACCATTCTGTTGATTACTATAGATTTGTAATATAATTTGACATTAGGAGATATGTTGCCTCCAGCTTTGTTCTTCTTTTTCAGTATTGCTTTGGCTATTCAGTGTCTTTGTGGTTCCTGATGAATTCTAGGATTGTTTTTTCTATGTCTGTGAAAAATGCCAATGGAATTTTAATAGTGGGTGCATTGAAACTACAGATTGTTTTGCTACTATAGACATTTTAACAATATTAAATCTTCCAAGCTATGAACACAGATTATCTTTTCATTTATTTGTGTCCTCTTCAGTTTTTTAAATTGGTATCGTATAGTTTTCAGTTTACGGTTTGAGTTTATACCTAAGTATTTTATTGTTTTTGATGCTGTTGTAAATGGGATTTCTTTTTTTGGCCATGCTGTGTGGTTTTCAGGATCTTAGTTCCCTGACCAGGGATCGAACCCAGGCCCTCAGCAGTGAAAGCACTAAGTTCTAACCACTGGACTGCCAGGGAATTCCCTGGGATTGTTTTCTTTCTCTTTCCAATAGTTCATTGTTTGTATATAGATGAATAACTGATTTTTGCATATTGATTTTGTATCCTTCAGCTTTTCTGAATTTGTTTATTATTTTAACAAGTTTTTTGGTAGAGTCTCTAGTTTTCTGTACAAGCATACTTTGCTTTATCATGCTTCACTTTATTATGTTTTGCAGATGTTGTGTTTTTTACAAACCAAAGGTTTGTGGCAAGCCTGTGTTGAGCAAATCTATTGGTGCCATTTTTCAACAGTATTTGCTCACTTTTTGTCTCTGTGTCACATTTTGGTAATTCTTGCAGAATTAGAAGTGGAGCCTGAAGATGTGACTGAGGTGCTACAATCTCATGATAAAACTGTAATGGATGAGGAGTTGCTTCTTATGAATGAGCAAAAAAAGTGGTTTCTTGAGATGGAATCTACTTCTGGTGAAGATGTTGTGAAGATTGTTGAAATGACAACAAAGGATTTAGAATATTACTTAAACTTAGTTGATAAAGCAGCAGCAGGGTTTGAGAGGATTAACTGCAATTTTGAAAGAAGTTCTGTGGGTAAAATGCTATCAAACACTGCATGCTACAGAGAAATCATACGTGAAGGAAGAGTCAATTAATGTGGCAAACTTCACTGTTGTCTTATTTTAAGAAATTGCCACAGTCACCCCGACCTCCAGTAGCCGCCACTGATCAGTCAGCAGCCATCAACATTGAGGCAAGACTCTCCATCAACAAAAAGTAAGACTTGCTGAAAGCTCAGATAGTGCTTAGCATTATTTAGCAATAAGTTATTTTTAAATTAAAGTATTACATGCTTTTAGATATAATGCTATTACATACTTAATAGACTACAGTATATATATATATTTTACATCTTTATTGGAGTATAATTGCTTTACAATGGTGTGCTAGTTTCTGCTTTATAATAAAGTGAATCAGTTATACATATACGTATGTTCCCATATCTCTTCCCTCTTGCGTTTCGCTCCCTTCTGCCCTCCCTATCCCACCCCTCTAGGTGGTCACAAAGCACCGAGCTGATCTCCCTGTGCTATGCGGCTGCTTCCCACTAGCTATCTGTTTTACGTTTGGTGGTGTATATATGTCCATGCCACTCTCTCGCTTTGTCACAGCTTACCCTTCCCCCTTCCCATATCCTCAAGTCCATTCTCTAGTAGGTCTGTGTCTTTATTCCTGTCTTACCCCTAGGTTCTTCATGACATTTTTTTTCTTAAATTCCATATATATGTGTTAGCTTATGGTATTTCTCTTTCTCTTTCTGACTTATTTCACTCTGTATGACAGACTCTCGGTCCATCCACCATTGAGCTAAATTACAAATAGCTCAATTTCGTTTCTTTTTATGGCTGAGTAATATTCCATTGTATATATGTGCCACATCTTCTTTATCCATTCATCCGATGATGGACACTTAGGTTGTTTCTATCTCCTGGCTATTGTAAATAGAGCTGCAATTAACATTTTGGTACATGACTCTATTTTGAGCATAGCTTTTATATGTACTAGGAAACCAAAACATTTGTGCGACTCACTTTATTGCACTCTTTTTTTTTTTTTTTTTTTGCACTCTTCACTTTATTTCAGTGGCCTGGAACTTTACCCTCAATATCTCTGAGGTATGCCTGTATATAAGGTCATGTCATCTGCAAACAGAGACACTTTTACTTTTTACTTTTCAATTTGGATGGCTGTTTTCTTTTTTTTTTGACTAATTGCTCTGGCTAGTACTTCTAGTACTATGTTCAATAGAAGTGTCAAGGGTGGGCACATATTTGTGAGCTTTGCAGTTTTGCTTCTGTTATTGATTTCTTGTTTCATACCACTGTGGTCAGAAAAGACACTTGATATGGTTTCACTCTTCATAAATATGCTGTGACTTGTTTTGTGATCTAATGATTTATCCTGGAGGATGTCCTGTGTGCCATTGGGAAGAATGTGTATTCCTTTGCTGTTGAATGAAATGTTGTGTATGTGTCCATTTGATTTAAAATGTAGTTCAAGTTCCTGTGTTGATTTTCTGTCTGGATGATCTATCCATTGTTGAAAGTGGGGTATTGAAGTCCTCTACTATTACTGTAGTTTTATTTCTCTCTTCAGACCTGTTAGTATTTGCGTAATATTTAGGTAGTCCGATGTTGGGTGTATATATATTTATAATATTGTATTATCTTGATTAATTGACTCTTTTATCATTATATAATGAACTTTTTTGTCTCTGTTTCAGTTTTTAACTTATAGTATATTTTGTCTAATATAAGTATAGCTATGCTTGATCTCTTTTGGTTTCCATTTGCTTGGAATATCTTTTCCCATTCTGTAACTTTGAACCTATACATGTTCCTAAAGCTGAAGTGAGTCTCTTGTAGGCAGCATATTACTGGGTCTTGTTTTGTTGTTGTTTTTTTAATCTATTCAGCCACTGTATGCCTTTTGACTGGATAATTTAATCAATTTAAAGTAATTGTTGATCAGCAAAGATTTATTGATGCCATCTTATTGTTTCCTGACTGTCTTGTATTTCTTTTTTTCCTCTCTTGCTGTCTTCCTTTGTTAATTAATGATTTTCCTTAGAGGTGTTCTTTGATTCCCCTCTCTTTATCTTTTGTGTATCTGCTATAGGTTTTTGCTGTGATTATCATGAGGCTCACATAAAATATCTTATTCTATTGTAAGCTGATGATAACCTGGTTGCATACAAAACTACCCTTTACTCCCCCTCATTTTATGTTTTTAATGTAACAATTTATGTCTTTTTATTTGTATATCCATTAACAAATTATTTTGGCTACAGTTATTTTTAATACTTTTATCTTTTTTAACCTTTCTACTGGAGTTAAGTGGTTAATACACCATTGTATGATAGTATTAGAATATTCCGAATTTGACTATATACTTACCTTTACAATTGTGTTTTATATTTTCATGTTACTAGCTAGTATCCTTTCATTTCAGCTTAAAGAATTCCTTTTGGCATTTCTTGTAAAGCTGGTATAGTGGTGATGAACCTCCTCAGTTTTTGCTGTCTGGGAAAGTATCTCCCCTTCATTTCTGAAAGGCAGCTTTGACAGGTGGCTCTTGTTTAGGACCTTGATCCAGTTTGAGGTAATTTTATATATGGTGTTAGATAAGGGTACAAATTCATCCTTTTGCATGTGGCTATCCAGTTTTCCCAACGCTATTTATTGAAAAAGACTGTTCTTTCCCCTTTTAATGGTCTTGACATCTTTGTTGAGATCATTTGACCATATATGCAAGGGTTTGTTTCTGTCCTCTCTGTTCTATTACGTTGGTTTATATGTCTTTTCTTATGCCAATACCACACTCTTTTGATTACAGTAGCTTTGTAATAAGTTTTGAAATCAGGATGTGTTAGACTTACAACATTGTTTTTCTTTTGAAGATTGTTTTGGCTATACAGGGTTTCCTGAGGTTACATATAAATTTTAGGATGGATTTTTCTATTTTGGCAAAAAGCATTATTGGAGTTTTGATGGAAATTACATTGAATCTGTAGACCACTTTGGATATTTACATCTTAACAGTATTAAATCTTCCAGTCCATGAATATGAGATTTCTTTCCGTTTGTGTGTTTCTCTAATTTCTTTCAGCAATGTTTTGTAGTTTTCCATGTACAAGTCTTTTGTCTCCTTGATTAACTTTAGTCCTGTGTATTTTATTCTTTTTCTTGCTACTATAAATGAAATTGTTTTCTTAATTTTATTCCTGTTTTCATATGTAAATGTTGTACAGTCACTCAAACTGTTCAATTACATGTGTATTTTATGCCCTCATAAGATCATGGAAATTCTCTATATTCAGATGTTCTATTCATATAGTTCAAATCAAAATAAAATTCCCATAACTATCCTTGTACCTTTAAATATCTAGAATCCTGAGCTTGGTGGTAAGAACATAACCTCACGTCTTCATAAAACCCATCGAGAGAGAAGACTTACAATCCTTCTGGGAAAACACTCTTTCCCAACCCCAGAATAATCTCAGATAGGCAGTAGAACACAGTGACCTTCTAAAATGAGGGGGGACAAATTCACATTTTGTGTAATATACACTACAATCAGTAATGCAATTAGTGACCATAAGCTTTCCAATGTACAATTTATTCAAAAGTCTGAAATGTTCAGTGGATAAGGAGACAGTTACATGCTAGAAAGATGTAATATTTTTTGCATGGTTTAATTAAAATATAAAGCTATTTGTCCAAATAAAAGCCATATTCATTATGTACTTGGTTTTTTTTTTTTAAAGGTCACTGGTACATGTATAGTCTGGACATGCTGGTAGTATCAAAGTCAGTGCCTCTTCCCATGGCAATAACAATGCATTTAACATTAACTCATGGGTTAAATCTGGAAATGACTTCATAGCATTACTTTGGCTAGCACAACAATTTTAGACAACACTCAGATAAATATAGGTATTTGAAATGTGAAGCATTTATCTATGCAACTTAAATTGTGGTTGAAAACTATCAAATGAAAACTGAAAATAAAAGCACTTTACAGTAGAAAAGTTTTGTAAAGATAGGGTACTTTTTAAAGTCTTTATATCACATTGTTAGCAAATTTTGTTTTTAACACTATTATGGAATAGCCTACTTGTGGTAACAGATTTTTGAAATAAGAAAATAGTCAAGTGTGCCATTGGATTTTCTAAATATCAAGCAACACACACTTATATATACAGTATCACTCAGTACCTGCAAAATGAATGTGAAGATTACAGAGTCTAATCTCTTATTCTACAATAATAAACAACAGAAACAACATCCTACCAGTGAAGGCAGAAAGTAGGACTTAGAAGAATCTAATCTCAATTGACTTTAAAGCATTCATATAAGAAATAAATGCATATTGCACAAACAATGAGAAAAAAATGTTCCTCCAAGCAACTCAGTTCCAGCTGGGACAACACAGCATTAGCCTGCATCTAACAACAATCTCAGAAGAGCACATGTTCTTTTCTGTAAATGATAAAGGTATGAAAACATAGAAATGTCTGCCACATGAAGAGTTATAAAGAAAAAATACAAACCCAAACTTAGATGTAAAGCAAAAAAAACTAAATATTGAAAAACTGAAAACTGGCAGATCAAAAAATGCTGAATAACTGTCTTCTGTGAGAGCCGAAAGTTTTTGTTGACACAAAAGTATTTACGTACAACTAAGGCTTGCTGGTTAAATATCTGAGGCATATCTGGCCTTGAACACTTTCTTTATATGCTGGAGTTGTACACAAGTTTTCTCAGTTATTTAAAATAACTAAATGAAAAACCCCACTTCTCAGCAGCTGCATTAACATGAAACAATGATCTCGATACAAGGAAAAAAAAAGAAAAACAAAATGAAACAGAAATCCTAGATAAGTAGGCAATTGGCAGCATATCCAAAAATGATAGCCTCCAAGGATCCTTCCCAGTTTCCAGTGACTTTCAGTTACGGTCCATGGGATTACAAATATGTACAATTCCATTACTTGCTGCTTTTTATTTAATTTGGAAAGTTTGCTTATGACTCTGCTCAAGTCCCCATTTTCATCCTTTAGCCTCTGGTTGTCTGCTTTTAGATCTGTTAACATTTTGAGCTCTTCTTTCACTTGAGATATTCTTTTTAGAGCTCTCTGTCCCCTTTTTTCCCAACTTCCAATAGTGACCTATCTGCAAATCTTTCTTGTCTCTGGTGGCCTTTTCTAATTGCAG